AAAAATATACATTGCTGTCTTTCCCTAGCTTCTGCTGATGCTTATTTGACTCCCTGCATTAAGGAATACATTCGTGGCTTCACAGCTGGTTTTCAGGAAGGCATTCAGGTTTGTTACATGTGGAGAAGGCATGGTTGATTATTATCTAACTCTCTCGGCACATTGGAGACCTATCATGACAGATATTTATCAATTATTATTCACCAAAGTGGAGGTGAATAGTGGTACCGAGCTGAAAAGCGACCAATAAAGCAGTTTATTTCTGACAAAAAAAATTACAAATAGTCAAAAATTTCAAAATCTCTACTTGATTGTGATTTCCGAGTTAACCAATCAGAATGTGTGAAAAGCCCTATTCAATTGTTTAGTATACATGTATACTAATGCCTGTTATTCTAAGACATTTAGGGCAATTTTGATAATCATAAAGAAACACATGTCTAGCATTTTCATTTGTGTTCACTAAAGTATAAATCATAGTTGTAATATTTAGAATTTGGTGACTCATTCTTTTATTGTTTAAATATACAAATAAACCTACCACAGCTCCATTTGCTGTAACTGTTTGAGTGAAGATTACTGTTATAGTAATTTTAACAGTGATCTTCACTCATGTTAGTTATTAACATTTTATTTTTTCTGTGACCAATTTGAAGGACAAAGTGTTGTTTATGCAATCTGATGGTGGTCTGACTCCTGTTGCTAAGTAAGTTTTCAAATTATAATAATGCCACTAATATTCATTGTGCCAAAATTTCGGTTCAAAGCCTCCTACCTCACACTAGTTGTCATGTGTTGCAAGCTGAGAGATGTTTTCTTGAAAATCCCTGGAGGGGATCTAGGGGGTTCAACCAAATTTAAAAAAATATATGACACATTATAACATGCCAACTGACTTGGCCTCAAAATGTCACAAATCCCATTTCTGAGGGCCTCAATTTTAAGAATTTTCTGGGGAAGGATGTCCCTTGAACCTCCTACAGGGGACCACCTTTGGCAGTCTGTATCTCAAACCCCTGTCTCTAAAATCCTGTATCTGCCCCAGGAATCATGAGCAGATCTGGGCATGTGGCTTACCACTGGGCATGTGGCCCAGATTGTCTCATAAATTGCAATAGCTTTAGCCAATCATAGCTCACATGCAGCATCTTCAGTTGAGTGCACTGCATGACTGCATGCAAAGTTCTCTGTTGCTGTAGCCTTAAAGTGCATGTATTGTACACCTGTTTGGATGCTATGTAAATGTTCCTGCATTGTATAAAAATATTGACAACCAACCCCTTATGTCTCTTAGGTTTTATGGATCAAGGGCTATTCTTTCTGGACCTGCAGGTGGTGTGGTAGGTTTCAAACATTCCATTTAACTGAACAACAGATTATAGGTTCTAGGAGTTCTGTTCACAAATAATGCTCCTTTTTTCTCCAAAGAAGTCCTAAGATAAAACAGGGACAACCAGCAGATATAATCTTTGAGATTTTACAGATTTCTTTTGCTTTGTCCAGGTTGGTTATGCAATGACGACTTTTCAGAGAGAGACTGATCAGCCAGTTATTGGATTTGACATGGGAGGTAATTTATTTATAATAATTAATTGGACTGTCATGCATGAACACCAAGACCAGAGATGACAACCTAAGAAAATCTAAATCTGGGAGATCGCCAATTCATCTCTTGACCCAAAAAAAGGTTGTTCAAGCTAGAGCCCGGACAATGCAACCACAATAATGCATCAAATATAAAAAAAATTCACAGAAAACATCAAAAATCGGTCAATATATGTCGAAAAATGTATTTTATGCGCTTTGTATTCTGTGGGAGATTTGGTGACCCTGTACGGGGCGGACCGTGAGATTCGCTTTGATACGGCCATATTGGCATAGATGTAAGACCTGTTAGTAATTGAAAGATGTTTTATATCCCAATGTGTTCTTGTGGAAAACATCAAATTTTTGTGCACTAACTAGATCTGAATCAGATATATATCTTAAATTCTTGTTTGCCATTTCTTATTTAAAACTACATCATTCATGAGAGCTGTACCTTCACTTTATTCCAGGAACATCAACTGATGTGTCTCGCTTTGCTGGTCAATTTGAACATGTGTTTGAAACAACAACAGCTGGAATCACGATACAAGCCCCTCAGGTATGTAACCTGGTTATCACAGGGTTCTGAAGGTAAAGACCCTTGTTGTCTCCAGATTTAGCAGCTTAAATTCCCATTGCTACTTTTATAAGGTCGCAACCTTCATGGGCTTGCTACTTTGGGGTGACTAATACGTGTACCACATGTAGTCTGATCCGTCTTACTCAATACTTAATGTGTTCTCAATATATAAGAAAATATGTAAGAAAAATAAGTTGGGATGTTGTTACCTTCGGAACTTTGTTGTATTTTAAAAGTCAAACAAGCCCCCAGTTGGCTTAGCTTGATAGCTCAGTTGGTAGAACACTGCACTGCACCGGTATCGCAGAGGTCATGGGTTCCAATCCCGTTCAAGCCTGATTTTTTTTTTTCAGTCTTTAATTTCAGAACTACTTAAGTTGTGTGTGTAACTGCGATGATCAATCATGTCTTCATCTCTTTCTCCGCAGTTCAAACATGTGATATTTCATATATTCACTTGTAAAGTTGCACAATGATCTACACTGAAAAAAGAAAGTTTTAAAGAAATGAGAAACACCACCTCATGACAAGCTGAGACAGATAAATTGGGCTTTAGACTCCTCGGACTTATTAGTCTACTTTTGTCTTCTCGGTCCGTACAATAACTTACGGATTCTTGTTTTTCCCTTCGATTCATGGCCTACGCTTGAGCATAAATCGAAGAGGGAAAACTCGGTCCGTAACTTACAGTACGGACCTCAAAATCGGTCAATAAGAGGTATGTGCTTTTGCAGCTGGACATCAACACTGTGGCAGCAGGTGGTGGATCACGCCTGTTTTTCAGGGCGGGGCTATTTGTTGTTGGTCCTGAGTCTGCCAGTGCCCATCCAGGACCTGTGTGTTATCGGAAAGGTGTGTTTGGATATTTACCTGATTTTTACAGTACGTAATGTGTGAATAAATGATAATGAAATGTGTAAATGAATAATAAATAAATATAATATTCGTAACATACAGAGGAAACGCCCATATATTGTTTTTCCACTTGGCTCCGAGGCTTGGGGCATGTAAACGAAAGAAATTACGTCGAGGTTGAGGGATAAATAATTAATTTCGTTTGATTTTATTTTGATAGGTGGTCCACTGGCCGTAACAGATGCAAATTTAGTGCTTGGAAGAATTTTACCTGAGTACGCACGTTTAAATATTTTGTTAGAGACTGAGAGATTTTAATTTTGGAAAATTTCAAAGTTTTCATTGTTTTAAAAACTGTAATCTTACACTTTCTTTTTTTAACAGATTTTTCCCAAAAATCTTTGGAAAGAATGAAGATTTACCGTTAGACTTAGAGGGTTCATGGTCAGCATTCAAGAAGTTGACAGAACAGGTTAGAGAAAAAAAAAATGATGGACATGATCTAAACCAGTTTTGGGTCCATAGAACACTTCCAATAATGTTTGAATGTGCGAATTCTGAAGCTTTCACCCTCTACAACTTTAAGGTACCAAGGAAAAAGCGTTAACGGATGATGTTCGAGGATATAGGTTTACTTCCAATTAACTGGATTGTGCAAAGTCATGTTTAGTTTTCACACTGTACACTGACTGTAACAATGTTTGAGGGGAATTTATTGCACGTTTCCAGCAAGGTTATTTCCCTCGAGGTTTTATCAGTAAAATCTGTAGATACTGCAGAGTAATGGTTCAGTCTATTTCTGAATTATTTCGTCGTTTTCTTAAACCAGGTCAATGAGTTTCTGTCGTCTCAAGAAGACGGTGCAAAGAAGGGTCCTTTGACTGTGGAGCAAGTTGCCATGGGATTCATCACGGTTGCCAACGAGACCATGTGTCGACCAATCAGAGCTCTGACTGAGGCAAGAGGTCACGACACTGCCCGTCACGTGCTGTCATGTTTTGGCGGCGCTGGCGGTCAGCATGCTTGCTCCATTGCTAGGTCGTTAGGAATGTCTACCGTGTTTATTCATCGGTGAGTTAAAATGGCTTACCCATCCTAAGATCTCGCACGAATCACTGATTTCAGATGGATATAATATAAGAAGCAACAGTCATATAAATCAGAATGGTCACACACTCGGGTTTTATCCAGGCATTGCCGGAACGTTAGAGCTGTCCTGCAAGGCATGACAAACAGTACCACGTGAAAGTATCCATCAATAGCTTTCATTTAAATGGTCACACACTAGGGTTTCATCCACAGACTTAAAAGTTAGATCCACCTTGTACAACAAAATGAACAGTATCAGATTAAAGTACTGCTCAATAGCAGTTTCCTTTGAATTGACACCGACCAATATGACAAGATGTTTACTTTCTTCTCAGTTTTGCAGGTATCCTATCAGCGTATGGACTGGCACTAGCAGATGTGGTACACGAAGCACAGGAACCCTGTGCTCGTGCGTATAGTAAAGGTAGGATTCCTGTGGTTAGACAGTCTTTTGCCCTGTGCTCCTGTGGCCATATTTATAGAAATCGACGTTTTTGATTAAAGTATCGTAACATATTTAAACTTTTCTGGTATCTTGAGGCAAAGTATGTTGGTTTTGAACGCGGTATAAATTTCCGTTTTTGTTTGTTCGCTTTCAGAGTCATTTAGTTATCTGGATGAGAGAATTGATATTCTGATGCAAAAGTGCATTGAGGAATTGAAAAGCCAAGGCTTCGAAGAGTAAGTATTGCTTTTTTTCGTGAAGCATAAGAATATCACGTGTATATAAACACAGAGACAAACCCTCCAGAACTCCTTCTATGTGATTCCAAGAGTTTCAAAACTCACAAATTTAGGGAACTATGTTAAAGTTAATGCTTGGGTTGTTCGAAAGGTGGATAGCGCTATCCACAGGATGAATCACTATTCAGTGGATAGCGTGGTTTGATTTGTTAACCCTTATCCGCTGGATAGTGATTTATCCAGTTGATAGCGTTATCCAGCCGTCGAACAACTGGGACCAGGTTTATTTGTTTTTTTTTTGTTTGGACGGAATAGGGTGCTTATGTCCTAGATTATCTAGTTATGTTGTTGGGCTTAATATTTTCAGGAGTCAAATCTCCACTGAAGCATTCCTTCACATGCGGTATAGCGGTACGGACTGCGCTCTAATGTGCACTGCTGTCCCTCAGAAAGAAGAAAAGGTAAATCACTATTTTCCTGTTGCGTTAAAGTTGATTGTAATTTAACTAGTTTTCCCAACATTCTTTTTGAGTCTTCTTTAGTGTTTCTTGACGACCTGTCATGATCCGCGAGGTGCTAAGTGCGTAATTAAGAAAGTTTCGCGCTTCATTTGCACAAAGTGGTGAGTTAGGAATTTTCAGGTGAAGTTCTCATCTGACGTATTCCAAGTCATAATCCATCAAATATTTTCGCTCGCCCGCGATTGGTTTAAACGGGTCACGTGACCGAATATTTCCCAGCTAAAACTGGGGAATATCCAAGAATATTCCCCAAATTTCAGACCTGCTCGCGTTATGAAAAAGATTTCAAGAATAATAAACACAAAAGCCTCCATTTTGAGCGAAAATATGCTCGGATATTTGTCCTTGAACATTAACTGTTCCTCGAAGCTCACAGTTTTCCTCGAGCTACGCTCTCGGAAAACTGTTCACTCGGAACAAATAATGTCCGCGGACAAATATCCGAGCATATTTTCGCGCCAAATGGAGGCTATTGTTTATTTATAAGCCATCAAATATTTTTGTTCGCACCCGATTGGTCTAAACGCGTCACGTGGCTGAATATGCCCCAGCTAAAACTGGGGAATATCTAAGTGATATTCCCGAATTTTCAAAACTGCACGTGTTGCGAAAAGTATTTGAAGGATAATAAACGCGATAGCCTCTATTTGGTGCGAAAATATGTTCAAATATTTGTCCTTGTACATTATTTGTTCCTCAAAGCTCACAGTTTTCCTTGAGCTTCGCTCTCGCAAACTGTTCGCTTCTCGGAACAGATCATGTCCGCGGGCATATTTTGGCGCAAAAGGAGGCTACTGTTTATTCATGGAGAAAGTTTTATGATATCCAGAGAAAAAATGTCGATTACAGTAAAAACTGAACCTTAAAAAAGCCTGGTTAGGTCCATTGTGTCCACGCATAATTTTTGAAAATAACTTTTCGTTCTGTTTAATTGTTTCGTTTCGTTGTTTTGTTCCAATTTTAGTCAGGAGAAGGTTGCCGGCATGGTGATTTTGGACAAGCTTTTAACGAAAGGTAAGTAACTTTTAACCACTCCAGCGCAGCTAATGTCATCACTTTTTTATTCTCTCAATTGTCTTCTGTCGTTAGATACGTGCGAGAGTTTGGTTTCACCATTCCCAATCGCCAAATCCTGATTGATGACATCAGAGTGAGAGGGACTGGGCACTCGAAGACGTCTGTAGCACACGAAGTGCCAAAAGCCACCACCCCTGCCCCGGTGAAGAAGGTATTATAAAAAACATGTTTTTGGCCGTTTTGGTAACTTCTCTTTATATCGTACTTATTCTTCGTTTAACTCCCCACTCTTTCACTCTGAATTTATGCCGTTTTCTATGTCCAGTACTCGTGCATGAAAATGAAATGGGTATATGAGAAGCAAAAAGTATTTTTATGTTACTCGGTTTAATTAAAAATTTCCAAATGCCGGCAGTCCGTAAGTCTAATTATTTTTATTCGAGTTGTTTGTTGTTATTTTCTTTCTAACAATCCAGACAACAAAGTGTTACTTTGAAGATGGTTTCCACGACACGAAGATTTACCTGCTTGAGGAGTTGTCCGCTGGTCACACGATAGATGGACCGGCTATTATTGTTGACAAAAACAGGTCTGTGGCGTGTCAGTCGACGTTATGTAGTCGTCTTAAAATATTGAAAGCTTCTAAACACGTATGGTCTTCAATGCGCCTTTTTTCTAAAACGAGCACGATGACGCCCATTGTTGTACTTTTTGGCAAAAGTTGATCTTTGCTTGACAACCTCGTTCCCAGGGTCTCTCTCAGCTCCGGGAGGGAGGGAGAGACCCTGGGAATGAGATTGTCGCCTAACTGCATGGCAAATTTAAAAAATTCTGTTGTTGAAAACATTTTGAGCGCGAAAGTCCGTATTATTTAAGTGGTTAGTGGTTGTGGGACGAGTTTACTGAAGTCTTGTGGTACCGAGTAACCAGTTGGTCAGCCGTTTATCCCTGGATTATGTTGATCTTTTTTATGTTGCCATTTACCTGCGGGTGCCATACAACTATTTTTTTTTTTTTTGCACGCTTATCATTTTATGCGGAACGGTGAACCTAGTTTATTTGTGATTATGAAGTGCGATTTTGTTTTGCCAGCACTATGCTTGTTGAACCGCAGTGCAAAGCTTCCATCACCACATCAGGAGATATCAGAATTGAGGTTTGTCTTCCTCTCCTTTTTGAACTTTTCTTTGTTGGTGTAGTGTATGTAACGGTCTCAATTGCTGCCTTTTTTAGTTGCTACTCCACGCTTTTTAGTTTTGGTACAGTGTTTTTATGAATACTCAGTTCAAACCCATGTTATATCACGGTATGTCATGGTAAAACCCTGGGGTTAAAACGTCACTATGCTATAAAGAAGCCATCACAGATATGTTCCACTGGACCGTATGTTTATCGTTGCTGTTGTTGTTGTTGTTGTTGTTTTTTTTTTTTTCAGATTGGAGGGAACCAAGGCAAAAAGAGCATTGGAACTGAATTAGATGCCATTCAGGTATTGATTATAATGTCTCTAAATGGCTAATTTGAGGGAGAGCAGTGTAGTCAAATTGTCTGCATGTTTTTTGACAACTATCTACGGCTGTGTTCTTGCAAACTGTACACCCAAGGCATCTTTTGATTAGATATTAATCAAAATCTCGTGGTCTTTTCTACATTTGCCAGTGAACTCCACTTGTATTCCTTGACTGAAATGGCTGGCTCTCGTAGTTTCCTATTTAGTTTCAGTGTTTTTCTCTTTTTCTTCTCAGCTATCAATATTTTCTCATCGTTTCATGAGCACTGCTGAACAGATGGGCCGGTGAGTTAATACATATTAGGAGGAATTTTATGTACGTATTATTTAAAGACAGCCAGTTTTCATTTGTTGTTGTTGTTGTTTGGCTTTACTCCACAGAGTTCTTCAGCGCACATCAATTTCGACAAACATCAAGGTAAGCTTTAATATTTCTTTTCGTAGAAGCGGAAGTACACTTGAATTTTTTTGATGTCGTAGCTATCCAAATATCCTCTCTATTTTTGGGAGTTCGCCTTGCATGGCCTGGAAGATTTCGTTGTTTGAAACCGTTACGACAGTTACTTTGCGTTATGCACATGTATTAGTAATCTCCTCACGCACAACTTCACATAATTTTCGTATCACGAAATATAGTGAGTGATAAAACGCACGCAATTGCTGGGTTCGTCTTTCACTTTACACTCTATTGATTCAAGTCACATTTTGTCACTCTTTACAGGAGCGGCTTGACTTTTCTTGTGCTATGTTCGGTCCTGATGGGGGCCTGGTTGCCAATGCTCCCCATATCCCAGTCCACCTCGGCTCCATGCAGGAAACTGTACAATACCAGGTAGAACAAATATTCTCTACTTACATTTTATATGAACGTGTTCTTTCATTTTATCAGTGTTAGTTTTATCGAGACTCTTCATGGCGTGACATTTTTCTCAGATTCGCACATTAGGAGATGATCTGAAGGAAGGTGACGTCATACTTAGTAACCACCCGAGTGCCGGGGGAACACATCTTCCAGATCTGACTGTCATCACCCCGGTAAGGAAAATAATTCATTCAGTTGTAAGCCGGTTAAAGTATGCCGTCAGTGTTCATTGAAGCTTCAGATTCAGAAATTGGTTTGGAAACAGGCTTGTTGCATGGTACAAGTTTACATCAAACTTGCGTGCAACAACAGTGGTTGCTATGAAGCCTCTTAAAAGTTAGGCGTAGAATGTTGCCGCAACGCTTCGACGCGAAAGCATTTTACTTTGTAATTGACTCGGGGCTTAAAGTGAACGAAGTTCAACTCACGTTTTTCTTCCGTTTTCAGGTATTCTATCCTGGCCAACCAAAGCCCGTGTTCTTTGTTGCCAGCCGAGGTCACCACGCTGACATTGGAGGTTCTGCGCCAGGTATAGTGTCTTTTAATCATTGCAAAGTTTAGTTTGTATAAACTATTTACCTATGAACCCTTGAATATGTGCAGGCGTAAAACATGAAGGTATTTGAATCATTCTACCAAACAGTGGTGATGTACCCGTATTTGCAGTAAACTTTCGCTCATTTGTTTGAAAAATGTTTGTCCAGGGAAGTTTTTTTTTCTTTCTAAGACGGAAGACGAGAAAAGGAGATATCACTTTTACCTCTTCTGTTAGTTCTATAATACTTACAGTTACTCGCGAAAGCCTGGGTAGAGCGGTTTTTTCTTCACTTGCGTGCCTAAAGTGATTCGCATTTGCTTTGGTTTCCCTTACTACGGTCAGTGATTGATTTACCCGNACGTCGAGGTTGAGGGATAAATAATTAATTTCGTTTGATTTTATTTTGATAGGTGGTCCACTGGCCGTAACAGATGCAAATTTAGTGCTTGGAAGAATTTTACCTGAGTACGCACGTTTAAATATTTTGTTAGAGACTGAGAGATTTTAATTTTGGAAAATTTCAAAGTTTTCATTGTTTTAAAAACTGTAATCTTACACTTTCTTTTTTTAACAGATTTTTCCCAAAAATCTTTGGAAAGAATGAAGATTTACCGTTAGACTTAGAGGGTTCATGGTCAGCATTCAAGAAGTTGACAGAACAGGTTAGAGAAAAAAAAAATGATGGACATGATCTAAACCAGTTTTGGGTCCATAGAACACTTCCAATAATGTTTGAATGTGCGAATTCTGAAGCTTTCACCCTCTACAACTTTAAGGTACCAAGGAAAAAGCGTTAACGGATGATGTTCGAGGATATAGGTTTACTTCCAATTAACTGGATTGTGCAAAGTCATGTTTAGTTTTCACACTGTACACTGACTGTAACAATGTTTGAGGGGAATTTATTGCACGTTTCCAGCAAGGTTATTTCCCTCGAGGTTTTATCAGTAAAATCTGTAGATACTGCAGAGTAATGGTTCAGTCTATTTCTGAATTATTTCGTCGTTTTCTTAAACCAGGTCAATGAGTTTCTGTCGTCTCAAGAAGACGGTGCAAAGAAGGGTCCTTTGACTGTGGAGCAAGTTGCCATGGGATTCATCACGGTTGCCAACGAGACCATGTGTCGACCAATCAGAGCTCTGACTGAGGCAAGAGGTCACGACACTGCCCGTCACGTGCTGTCATGTTTTGGCGGCGCTGGCGGTCAGCATGCTTGCTCCATTGCTAGGTCGTTAGGAATGTCTACCGTGTTTATTCATCGGTGAGTTAAAATGGCTTACCCATCCTAAGATCTCGCACGAATCACTGATTTCAGATGGATATAATATAAGAAGCAACAGTCATATAAATCAGAATGGTCACACACTCGGGTTTTATCCAGGCATTGCCGGAACGTTAGAGCTGTCCTGCAAGGCATGACAAACAGTACCACGTGAAAGTATCCATCAATAGCTTTCATTTAAATGGTCACACACTAGGGTTTCATCCACAGACTTAAAAGTTAGATCCACCTTGTACAACAAAATGAACAGTATCAGATTAAAGTACTGCTCAATAGCAGTTTCCTTTGAATTGACACCGACCAATATGACAAGATGTTTACTTTCTTCTCAGTTTTGCAGGTATCCTATCAGCGTATGGACTGGCACTAGCAGATGTGGTACACGAAGCACAGGAACCCTGTGCTCGTGCGTATAGTAAAGGTAGGATTCCTGTGGTTAGACAGTCTTTTGCCCTGTGCTCCTGTGGCCATATTTATAGAAATCGACGTTTTTGATTAAAGTATCGTAACATATTTAAACTTTTCTGGTATCTTGAGGCAAAGTATGTTGGTTTTGAACGCGGTATAAATTTCCGTTTTTGTTTGTTCGCTTTCAGAGTCATTTAGTTATCTGGATGAGAGAATTGATATTCTGATGCAAAAGTGCATTGAGGAATTGAAAAGCCAAGGCTTCGAAGAGTAAGTATTGCTTTTTTTCGTGAAGCATAAGAATATCACGTGTATATAAACACAGAGACAAACCCTCCAGAACTCCTTCTATGTGATTCCAAGAGTTTCAAAACTCACAAATTTAGGGAACTATGTTAAAGTTAATGCTTGGGTTGTTCGAAAGGTGGATAGCGCTATCCACAGGATGAATCACTATTCAGTGGATAGCGTGGTTTGATTTGTTAACCCTTATCCGCTGGATAGTGATTTATCCAGTTGATAGCGTTATCCAGCCGTCGAACAACTGGGACCAGGTTTATTTGTTTTTTTTTTTGTTTGGACGGAATAGGGTGCTTATGTCCTAGATTATCTAGTTATGTTGTTGGGCTTAATATTTTCAGGAGTCAAATCTCCACTGAAGCATTCCTTCACATGCGGTATAGCGGTACGGACTGCGCTCTAATGTGCACTGCTGTCCCTCAGAAAGAAGAAAAGGTAAATCACTATTTTCCTGTTGCGTTAAAGTTGATTGTAATTTAACTAGTTTTCCCAACATTCTTTTTGAGTCTTCTTTAGTGTTTCTTGACGACCTGTCATGATCCGCGAGGTGCTAAGTGCGTAATTAAGAAAGTTTCGCGCTTCATTTGCACAAAGTGGTGAGTTAGGAATTTTCAGGTGAAGTTCTCATCTGACGTATTCCAAGTCATAATCCATCAAATATTTTCGCTCGCCCGCGATTGGTTTAAACGGGTCACGTGACCGAATATTTCCCAGCTAAAACTGGGGAATATCCAAGAATATTCCCCAAATTTCAGACCTGCTCGCGTTATGAAAAAGATTTCAAGAATAATAAACACAAAAGCCTCCATTTTGAGCGAAAATATGCTCGGATATTTGTCCTTGAACATTAACTGTTCCTCGAAGCTCACAGTTTTCCTCGAGCTACGCTCTCGGAAAACTGTTCACTCGGAACAAATAATGTCCGCGGACAAATATCCGAGCATATTTTCGCGCCAAATGGAGGCTATTGTTTATTTATAAGCCATCAAATATTTTTGTTCGCACCCGATTGGTCTAAACGCGTCACGTGGCTGAATATGCCCCAGCTAAAACTGGGGAATATCTAAGTGATATTCCCGAATTTTCAAAACTGCACGTGTTGCGAAAAGTATTTGAAGGATAATAAACGCGATAGCCTCTATTTGGTGCGAAAATATGTTCAAATATTTGTCCTTGTACATTATTTGTTCCTCAAAGCTCACAGTTTTCCTTGAGCTTCGCTCTCGCAAACTGTTCGCTTCTCGGAACAGATCATGTCCGCGGGCATATTTTGGCGCAAAAGGAGGCTACTGTTTATTCATGGAGAAAGTTTTATGATATCCAGAGAAAAAATGTCGATTACAGTAAAAACTGAACCTTAAAAAAGCCTGGTTAGGTCCATTGTGTCCACGCATAATTTTTGAAAATAACTTTTCGTTCTGTTTAATTGTTTCGTTTCGTTGTTTTGTTCCAATTTTAGTCAGGAGAAGGTTGCCGGCATGGTGATTTTGGACAAGCTTTTAACGAAAGGTAAGTAACTTTTAACCACTCCAGCGCAGCTAATGTCATCACTTTTTTATTCTCTCAATTGTCTTCTGTCGTTAGATACGTGCGAGAGTTTGGTTTCACCATTCCCAATCGCCAAATCCTGATTGATGACATCAGAGTGAGAGGGACTGGGCACTCGAAGACGTCTGTAGCACACGAAGTGCCAAAAGCCACCACCCCTGCCCCGGTGAAGAAGGTATTATAAAAAACATGTTTTTGGCCGTTTTGGTAACTTCTCTTTATATCGTACTTATTCTTCGTTTAACTCCCCACTCTTTCACTCTGAATTTATGCCGTTTTCTATGTCCAGTACTCGTGCATGAAAATGAAATGGGTATATGAGAAGCAAAAAGTATTTTTATGTTACTCGGTTTAATTAAAAATTTCCAAATGCCGGCAGTCCGTAAGTCTAATTATTTTTATTCGAGTTGTTTGTTGTTATTTTCTTTCTAACAATCCAGACAACAAAGTGTTACTTTGAAGATGGTTTCCACGACACGAAGATTTACCTGCTTGAGGAGTTGTCCGCTGGTCACACGATAGATGGACCGGCTATTATTGTTGACAAAAACAGGTCTGTGGCGTGTCAGTCGACGTTATGTAGTCGTCTTAAAATATTGAAAGCTTCTAAACACGTATGGTCTTCAATGCGCCTTTTTTCTAAAACGAGCACGATGACGCCCATTGTTGTACTTTTTGGCAAAAGTTGATCTTTGCTTGACAACCTCGTTCCCAGGGTCTCTCTCAGCTCCTGGAGGGAGGGAGAGACCCTGGGAATGAGATTGTCGCCTATTTGCATGGCAAATTTAAAAAATTCTGTTGTTGAAAACATTTTGAGCGCGAAAGTCCGTATTATTTAAGTGGTTAGTGGTTGTGGGACGAGTTTACTGAAGTCTTGTGGTACCGAGTAACCAGTTGGTCAGCCGTTTATCCCTGGATTATGTTGATCTTTTTTATGTTGCCATTTACCTGCGGGTGCCATACAACTATTTTTTTTTTTTTTGCACGCTTATCATTTTATGCGGAACGGTGAACCTAGTTTATTTGTGATTATGAAGTGCGATTTTGTTTTGCCAGCACTATGCTTGTTGAACCGCAGTGCAAAGCTTCCATCACCACATCAGGAGATATCAGAATTGAGGTTTGTCTTCCTCTCCTTTTTGAACTTTTCTTTGTTGGTGTAGTGTATGTAACGGTCTCAATTGCTGCCTTTTTTAGTTGCTACTCCACGCTTTTTAGTTTTGGTACAGTGTTTTTATGAATACTCAGTTCAAACCCATGTTATATCACGGTATGTCATGGTAAAACCCTGGGGTTAAAACGTCACTATGCTATAAAGAAGCCATCACAGATATGTTCCACTGGACCGTATGTTTATCGTTGCTGTTGTTGTTGTTGTTGTTGTTTTTTTTTTTTTCAGATTGGAGGGAACCAAGGCAAAAAGAGCATTGGAACTGAATTAGATGCCATTCAGGTATTGATTATAATGTCTCTAAATGGCTAATTTGAGGGAGAGCAGTGTAGTCAAATTGTCTGCATGTTTTTTGACAACTATCTACGGCTGTGTTCTTGCAAACTGTACACCCAAGGCATCTTTTGATTAGATATTAATCAAAATCTCGTGGTCTTTTCTACATTTGCCAGTGAACTCCACTTGTATTCCTTGACTGAAATGGCTGGCTCTCGTAGTTTCCTATTTAGTTTCAGTGTTTTTCTCTTTTTCTTCTCAGCTATCAATATTTTCTCATCGTTTCATGAGCACTGCTGAACAGATGGGCCGGTGAGTTAATACATATTAGGAGGAATTTTATGTACGTATTATTTAAAGACAGCCAGTTTTCATTTGTTGTTGTTGTTGTTTGGCTTTACTCCACAGAGTTCTTCAGCGCACATCAATTTCGACAAACATCAAGGTAAGCTTTAATATTTCTTTTCGTAGAAGCGGAAGTACACTTGAATTTTTT